AGAAACTCGCCCACTCGATATTTGCGCAAATAAACCGTATTACTCAGTTACACTGTGCTCAGGCTCAAACGGTCTTTTCTACAATCAATTCTACAATGATTCACTGTAATGGTCTTACACTGTTATTTATCCAACAATATATTATGAAATATTAACACTGGAGTTTTCAGTACTTTCTCTCGTTGGCGATAACGCAATAATTCACTGTACTCACAAATGATTATTCACTGAATGAACATAGACATATATATGGTATATAAATCAATCATCAATACATGGAAAATAAATTGTTTCTGGGCACATAGCCTAACCTCCAAATACTGGCATAATATTATATATAATTTACCACTATATGTTCATATCAAAAATCTATAGAAAGATATACACAACACAGTAAATTTATCACTGGTTCCTGGTGCCTGTACACACCAATAATCAACATGAATAATACAAGTACTCTTGATAGTACTGTCTAGCACACTGGTGCTTTACCGTGACATAGGTGAGACTTGCTCACGACATATAAAATCTTCAGGCTAGATAATATAGCCGAATAATATAGCTAACTAAAGGGGAATGGGGAGGGAACTAGAACCACCTACTTCACCCTATCCTCCGATGAGAGTCGAGATGTAGCTCCTGGTCCTCGTGTCGGGAACGCCCCCACACTACACGTCGTCGTGTCCTACCAGAGCCTCTCGTCGTCCCACCGTTTAGCGCGTCGTCTCCGTGCCTCCTCACTGCAGGTCCGTCCTCCTCCTTGACTTCTTGAAGGTTGGAGTCGGTCTCCTGGCCGTCGTCTTCTCCCAGCAACGGCTGTCGCCTACGTCTCAGCTACAGTCGTCCGGTTTCCCCAAATAGTCCTCTCTTCCTCAGCTACCCAGTGGCTCTGTCAGCCACTACGCTGTCACGAACTGGTGAATTGCCACAGACGTCAACATACGTCACTGCACGGCTTCACTGCTACTGGCACAGTACCTGACTGGAGCACTTGTTGCTCAAATAACCGTCAATTCCCTCTTCTGGTTCAACACATGAACTAGGGAAGACTTCTCAGAGTACTGGCGAACTTCCGATGACGCGTAAATCCACGGTAGTGGGAAACAGCTGTCCGACAGACAGGACCACTCGTCGCACGTCCGACCTCTATGACGTGTCGTGACTGACTGATGGCGCCAGCCCGGCGCGCTGGCCGGACCCCCTTCCTTCGTGACGTCACTTTCGCCACGGGAGGTTTTCATTGGCCCCCGGTGCCACACTACTGTCGGTGACCAATCCGGTGCCACTGACGTCACACGGTTTTGGCGGGAGATCAGAGAGGCCAGCGCCATCTTGGCTCCCTAAAGGGCCTAAACCACAGGCCAAAATATTACTATTTCACTAATTTCTCGGCTCTCCGAGAACACTTCACTCTCTCCCATATATCAAATTGTAGCCTGCAACGTAGAGAACGCTTGGGAAAAGTAGACATGACTCTTACTGCAGGCGTGGGAGAATTATAAGGGGGGGAACTCCGTCACAATATATATATATATATATATATATATATATATATATATATATATATATATATATATATATATATATATATATATATTATTAAATATGACCGAAAAAGTAAGATTAATAATTCTAAAACGAATTTTCTCAATCTTTCGTACATTTCTTTTCACTGTTGGAGGTAATTCAAAAATCAATTCTCCAAAATTCATTTTTATTTTTAGTCTGACGCGACACTTGAGCGCGTTTCGTAAAACTTATTACATTTTCAAAGACTTTAGTTAACATATACACAACTGAATAGAACTTACTGAATAGAATAGAACATCTCCGATTTTGTTTATATCTACATTTGAGTGAGTTGGATGGGGTGAGGTGGTATTTAATAAGGTATTAATTTCATCAACACAAGCCAGAACATGAAACAATGGGTATTGAATAGAAGTGATTGAAGAAAGCCTATTGGTCCATATATCTTGATGCTTTTATATTGGAGCGGAGTCTTGAGGTGGGTAGAATATAGTTGTGCATTAATTGGCTGTTGATTGCTGGTGTTGACTTCTTGATGTGTAATGCCTCGCAAACGTCAAGCCGCCTGCTATCGCTGTATCTATCAATGATTTCTGTGTTGTTTACTAGGATTTCTCTGGCGATGGTTTGGTTGTGGGAAGAGATTATATGTTCCTTAATGGAGCCCTGTTGCTTATGCATCGTTAAACGCCTAGAAAGAGATGTTGTTGTCTTGCCTATATACTGGGTTTTTGGAGCTTATAGTCCCCAAGAGGGCATTTGAAGGCATAGACGACGTTAGTATCTTTTAAAGCGTTCTGTTTTGTGTCTGGAGAGTTTCTCATGAGTAGGCTGGCCGTTTTTCTGGTTTTATAGTAAATCGTCAGTTGTATCCTCTGATTTTTGTCTGTAGGGATAACGTTTCTATTAACAATATCTTTCAGGACCCTTTCCTCCGTTTTATGAGCTGTGGAAAAGAAGTTCGTGTAAAATAGTCTAATAGGGGGTATAGGTGTTGTGTTGGTTGTCTCTTCAGAGGTTACATGGCGTTTCACTTTCCTTCTTATGATGTCTTCGACGAAACCATTGGAGAAGCCGTTGTTGACTAGGACCTGCCTTACCCTACAGAGTTCTTCGTCGACTTGCTTCCATTCTGAGCTGTGGCTGAGAGCACGGTCAACATATGCGTTAACAACACTCCTCTTGTACCTATCTGGGCAGTCGCTTTTGGCATATATATATATATATATATATATATATATATATATATATATATATATATATATATATATATATATATATATATATATATATATATATATATATATATATATATATATATATATATATATATATATATATATATATATATATATATATATATATATATATATATATATATATATAAATAATATATGTATATATATTAATATGGTATGGTAGCTGGGTATTGATGCGTGGCTTATTTTCCTGCACGTATAATGCCTCACTGATGTCCAGTCTTCTGTTCATTATGGTCGCTGTATCTGTCGATTATTTTAGTGTTGTTTGTGAGTATATGTCTGGTGATGATCTGGTTATGTAAAGGAACTATATAATCTTTAATAGGTATGTGTTGCTTGTGTAATGTCTGGCGCCTTGAAAGGGTGGTTGTTGACTTGCGAAAATATTGAATTCGTTGGGGCTGACATTCTCCAAGCAGCATGTGAAGGCTTTGACAACATTAGTCTATGTCTTCAAGGGAATTTGATTAGTTTCACGAAATTTCTTTTTGAGCAAGTTGACAGATCCATTGCTCTATTAGTATATTATTAGTTCAATATGTTGGTTTGTGTCAGAAGGGGTCACATTTCTATCAGCAATGTTTCTCACAACCCTTTCTTCCGTTTTACTGACCGCAGAGAAGTTCCTGAAGAACATATTTAATAGTAGGGACGGATGATGAACTGTTGTGTGCTGTATATGAAGTCGCATTATAGCTAAGCTTACTTTTGATGATTTCCTCGACATATATATCAGAGTATCCATTATTGCTCAGGACCTGCCTTACTCCACCGAGTTCCTCGTCAACTGGCTTCCAACTAGAGCTGTGAGTGAGGGCGCGTTTGACGCTGGCATTGAAAACACTCTGCTTGTACCTATGATGGCATTCACTCTTAGCAATAAGGCACATTCCCATGTTGGCTATCATAGTGTACACTGCAGTGTTAAAGCCACCATTCCTTTTCAAGACTATTATATCAAGGAAAAGTAGTTTCCCTCCTCTCTCAATCTCATAAATGGATCTTAGCTTTCAACTTCGTTCGATTGCACCCCTTAGGCTGCAGCAAGTGCTCTATATCAAGTACCTGCTGGAATATATCGTCTACAGATCGAGAGAATACACACGGATTTAAGCCCATGTCAACAAGGCCTTTCTGTTCGACAGTACCCATGAAAGAACTAGCAAATAAGACTCCAAGGGGGATTTACATAGCAACGCCGTCAACTGGCTTATACGTACGCCCATCAGGACTCAGGAAGGGTGCATCTTTGGTACATGCTTTGAGTGGTTTTTAAAAGTACTAAAGTACTTTTCTTATTATTCCAGCATTTCTCTTCGACATTTCTCACCGGGATATCATATTCACACCTGTTCATTTCCCTGCACACACACAGGCCACTAATGTTTAAATCCTCGCAAAATGACAATTCTACTGACGCTTCTATGCATCCCAGTCCAGCCCTAGATAAATGTAACCTTCTCTAGTAATCTTCTCTAGAAACCTTCACTAGTAACCTTCTCTAGTAACTTTCTCTAGTAACCTTCTCTAGTAACTTTCACTAGTGACCTTCTCTAGTAACCTTCTATAGTAGCCGTCTCTAGTTACTTTCTCTAGTAACTTTCTCTAGTAACCCTCTCTAGTAATCTTCTCTAGAGTAACTTTCACTAGAAACCTTCTCTAGTAACCTTCTCTAGTAACTTTCACTAGTAACCTTCTCTAGTAAATTTGTTTTCCAGTCCTTCTGAAACGCAAGCACTTATAGTAACTATATGGTCCAAAGTGCCAATATGTGGTGACAGACCACCAAACAGTTGAAGCTTTTTATTATTGATTTCAGTCAAATGGGCCATTGTTTCATTGCAATAGAAATTTAGAATCAAACCTAACCTAATCTTTCTTAGCAATTCTAGTCCTAATACACGTTTCCTTAGGCTTAATATGCATACATGTGCTATACTAGACCCCAGGAATGTTAACGCTCTGTGTTTAGTTTGAGTTTTTCGATCATTTTGGTGGTTCATTACTACACATTTTTACGTTTCACCAAATAGTTACTATAAAGACAATCTTTTTAAGAGGATAGGTTGATTTATAAGTTGTCTCAATGTAAATATCTGATTAATACATTCTCTTCCACCACTTAACTAACCTTGTTCATCATTGATCAGAATCTCAAGAAATATATTTATTGATTTATTCATTGATTTAATCATTATATGACAACAGGTGATGTCGGCCGCAGATCTTCTTAGAGACTACAGCAGCAAGACTTCTGACTCAGACGTCAAGGCCCAGGTAAGCTTTTTGTTGGTAAACATAATTAGTGCGGCAAGAACAGCTCATGTACTGTTATTACTTGATCACTGTTGGTGGCTGTGCTGATGTTACTGGTGGTTAAATTGATAATTTTTACTTAAATGCTTAACATATTGAAATGTTTTATTGATGGTAAAAGAACGAATTTTTGTATTATTATGCAACAGTTGGAGAAGTGGAAGTGGTGGCAGCAGCATTAATAATAGTAGGATCTCTAGTTTTAATACAGGAGGTAAAATTCATGTGTATGTAACCTAAGTACTGGAATGTGCAGTAGAAGCTTGATAAAATATGTGTGGTTATCGTGATGATAATATAAATGGTCTTCTTATTCATCATTTAACTGCTTGTCCAAGTTACAGCGTGAGGGGAGGGGAGAGGAGGGAGGGAATTATCAGGGGAAAGCACCAAGCCATTACGACTATATTGTTCTTGTAAGGGATAAGTATTTGGGATCAGACGGAGGAAAGGAATAGTGACCAACCATTTAGACGGTCGGGGATTGAATGCCGTCGTACATGAAGCAAGACCGTCGCTCTACTGTCCAGCCCAAGTGGTTGGGAAGGGAAAGGGGGCACCTGGAAAATAAATAAAGCTTTAGTAGTAAAAAGACGTTTTCGACTCAACGAAAAATTAATTCATCCTTTGACTGTCTTACACATAACATTCAAGAGAACCAGAACCATCGCTCTGCTGTGATTATTACAACAACATAAACATTTGCCACATATCCTGCTCCCTTCTAAGTCTTGTGTAGTCTTCACATTCAGTCTCTTCTTCCACACACACACATATGATGCAGCATATGTGTGTGTACACCAGTTGATTGATCTGTTTAGAGGCGGGACCATAGAGCCAAAGCTCAACCCCCGCAAGCACAAATAGGAGAGTACACACACCCACACACACTCATTATGACAATCTTTTCTCATCCAATCTCTCCTCTACCAAACCTAAAACTCAATTTAAAACACATGTTGTGCTAGACAATAATTATCCATTCATTCAACATGGCCAAACCATATCAGTTTATTCTTACCATTCTTGCGATTTATCAATATTTTCGCTACTCGTCTTCACATGGTTTTTCATTCGTCTGTATGTTTTTATATATATTCATCACACATGCTTAAATGACCATTACTAGTGCTTTAACCCTTACTTTCTAACGCTCATGCTGCATCAAGTGTAATCCAAACATTCATATGGGCAGGTAAAATCAATCCATGTTCAATGCAGCCCTCTGGAAAGAGCTTTTCATATACTGTTGTTATAACTAAGGCTTTTATTGATGAACCAGTTTCCTTCCCAGAGTCATTTAACTCACCTTCGATTTAACTATGTCTTCTTTTTTCAATCACAAATCCTAGGTATAAAATCTGACCAATCACTTAATGACTTCTCCAATTACCCAAATTTTACGCACCAAATTCCCTATTAATGCACCTCCTTTCTTTTATTCATGTTATCTTTATGTAATCTCTTCTCCTATCAAGATTATTTGCAAAATTTCAATTAAATTTACATCAAGTTTGACTTACAGCGTTAACTCCTATCATAGCCTAACTTTGGTTAACACCCTGATTATGTTATTTTTTCCTTGACCATCATCTTATCCCATCACTCATATATATATAATTCATCATACCACGATGAGGAGACCTTTATTACTATCTGATCATACATCACTGCCTTATTAACTCTTACACAACTTCGTCTCAAATAAATGCACCACAGAATATTTAGTATAACTTGACGAATTCTGAACATGCCCATCACTCTTTAGGTGCCTTTATTAAACTGACATCTTTCACTATGTCCATACAAGAGATGTTTATTTCAGATTCTTTCTCAGGTACTTATTTTATTTGGGAATTTAATGAAACTCTGTTTCACACGTCAATTTGCATTCGTAAAAAATGTCCATATTCTTCGCTGATAAATTGTAAAAGTATTATTTAACTGCTGATGTAGAATCCAATACCCAGAACGCCAAACTCATATCGCCATCCCAGACCTCAGGTATGGCCCGGGAAAAAATTGTTAATTTAAATATTTCTTTGGACACAAGGTTTGTATACGTCTCTGTGAACCGGAGGATCATATATGGACTCCAGATTTGTATCCCTAACCCTAGAAATTAAGCTTGTATTCCTTCAGTTCCACTCTTGTATCCGTCTCTCAGGATATCTGGAGTAAATTTACCTCCCTAGGACCTCAGGTATACAAATCCAATACAAATGTTCTACCTAATATATACAAATATTGCAAAGCAATTTATTCCCCTTGATATTGATTTTGGGTAATACAATTTCTCTTGTTCTGCACTTTATTATTTTATACCGTACTTTACAGGGAATGCGTGTCAAAGGCAATGTTCACTAATATGATGCTCTCTGTAGGGGTTTCAATGTTCAACATTGGGATCAGATTCGACGTCCACTTATAGGGAATCTCTTTCCTGTGGTGTTGCAGATCGCATTTAATGTTTTTTTTTTTCGTTGCTGATTATTTTAAGATTTCTTCAACTTCTTTTCGGATCCCCTGATAAGACTGTGTCACGTCTAACTGCTTGTCTTGCATAAATACTAATCAGTTGCTTTGTTTCCTTTTGTTTTTTACTTGTTTGTGTTTTTCCTACCACTTCCCTTTGTGTTTTTCAACCTTCGATGTGATTTCCTCTGAAAGTCAGTAACTGGTCGGGATCTACATTGACAAGGTCATTAACCTTGCACCGAGTGCCTCAGATACTTCCTTCTTATTCTCATTCAGACTTTTATTTCCATGTCTTTCCTCGTGCCTGATAACCTGCAGATATTTACCTACTAACTTGGATGTTTACCTTCTTGGGTTGATCTTTAGAACGTAAAACTAGTTTATTTTTTCAGTTTTCTGCATTTTGTTTGAAATTTCTTCTGACTATAATATTTATGTTCCGAGTTTTGCTCATGCATTTATTGTTCTTATCTTGTGCTGTCTCTACTTCAATAAGACTTTATTTATTCTTTGAACATGATGCTTTTACTCGACGACTTGTTACAACTCTTTTCCTCAGTTTCTTTCTGGAAAATAAAGATGCCGCTGGCGTCAGTGCATTACTTGTTTCCCAGTGAACACAATCTTGTCTTGCTGAAGCATAAAATGTTTCGCTTTACATTCTCCTCACTCTAGCATGCAAATGTTTTAGTTGACAGTTCCTTAACATATCTACAGCACTATGGAATATATTGAAATATTGTTGTTGTTGTTGTTTTAGATTCAGCTGCTTGGAACAATAAGTCCCAAGCAGATATATTGTCATGTACGGTGACCAAAATTATATTCTCAATATATCACATATTAGGGGAAAATTAGGTCAAGTAAAGTTGGTACATTACTTCGTCTTGACCTGAATAATTTGAATATTGTACCAGGATTGTTCGTTCTGTAACAATTAATATTTTTTTTTTTCGAAGCCTCATCCTATTCAAATGGGTTATTCATTTAGAAGTTTATCTTGCAATGGTAAAACATTTAACTCAATCTCTTTTCATTTGATGCTTCCCGCACTGTAATGTTAATGCTGATGTTATGTTTATCATTATTTATCATTATGTATGGAGATTATGAAATATTGCTAGAGCTTCCTTTAGATCATATTTTGTAAAAAATGTAGTTAAAATATTTTTTTTCAATCTTTTCTTCATGTGATCATCACATAGTTTTTTTAATTCTTTAATTTATATATTCATATACTTCTTGGAGAAATAAAGTACCATTACCATGCTCATTGAAATTGAAATTGAAATAAGTTTATTGAGGTAAAATACACACAAAGGGATGAAGTAGCTCAAACTATTCTCACCCCGTTCAGTACATCGTGTTAATTCATACATAGACACACATCACAAGCAATAAACGTATTACCGAACATTCTGACGGATAAACATATACATTTCCTCCTTTACACAAGTAGCCATGCTCATGATTTTGATTTTCATTATTGCTATTGTGTCCGAATTTACCTTATCAAGCTCACCTGCTTTGTTTGATATTCCAAAAGTATGTATGCACATGAATTTTATGTTATGTTTCCTGTCAACTTTTTTCTGCTTGTGTTCAGTTAGAGTTGTCCTTTTATGTTAAGGTGGTAAATGTGGGGAGGGCTTGGAGTTATGGTGCTGGTGAGGGCTGTGAGGGAGGTGTTACGTTGGTGAAGATGGGGAGGGCTTGGTGTTATGGTGCTGGTGAGGGCTGTGAGGGAGGTGTTCAGTTGGTGAAGATGGGGAGGGCTTGGTGTTATGGTGCTGGTGAGGGCTGTGAGGGAGGTGTTCAGTTGGTGAAGATGGGGAGGGCTTGGTGTTATGGTGCTGGTGAGGGCTGTGAGGGAGGTGTCAAGTTGGTGAAGATGGGGAGGGCTTGGTGTTATGGTGCTGGTGAGGGCTGTGAGGGAAATGTTCAGTTGGTGAAAATGGGGAGGGATTGGTGCTACGGTGCTGGTGAGGGCTGTGAGGGAGGTGTTTAGTTGGAGAAAATGGGGAGGGATTGGTGCTACGGTGCTGGTGAGGGCTGTGAGGGAGGTGTTTAGTTGGAGAAAATGGGGAGGGATTGGTTTGTATTGTGGTGTTTCTGAGGGGTTATTCGGGGTACACAAATATTCGTCAAAATATGAAATATAGTATGAAATGTTTAACAAATTTAGCGTTATTTGGCATCAGATTCGTGAAAATTTCATCCCAATATGTTAAGAAATGGATTTTAAATGAATTTAAAATAACAAAATAAAGTTTGCAGTTGGTACTGATGATAACAAAAACACCTCTTAGTTAGTGGGACTCATGGATCATGCAGTGATAAAGAGATACAAACACCTGTCCGACGCACAAAGAAGAAAATTATTAGTAATTAGTCCACAATGTGGATATGCAGTTGGTTCCTTCTAGCATTGTTGATTGCCACCTGGAGGGCAAAATTTCACACAAATAATAATGAGTAAGTATGGTATTTTGCTGTATTTTATTATATATATTTTATTATATATTATAATGGTAATATTTCTTACATCCGCCATTTTTTTTGGGGGGGGGGAGGATTTTTTCTTCTCTTTGTTTCTCATCTGATTTTGTTGCACACATCTTGGAGAAAACATACCCTTCACTAAGTATGTGGAGTTAAACATACCCTTCACTAAGTATGTGGAGTTAAACATACCCTTCACTAAGTATGTGGAGTTAAACATACCCTTCACTAAGTATGTGGAGTTAAACATACCCTTCACTAAGTATGTGAAGTTAAACATACCCTTCACTAAGTATGTGGAGTTAAACATACCCTTCACTAAGTATGTGAAGTTAAACATACCCTTCACTAAGTATGTGGAGTTAAACATACCCTTCACTAAGTATGTGGAGTTAAACATACCCTTCACTAAGTATGTGGAGTTAAACATACCCTTCACTAAGTATGTGGAGTTAAACATACCCTTCACTAAGTATGTGGAGTTAAAACGAAATTGGTCAACATGTAAATCAGCCACAGGTGCCAGAACGTGTGACTTTGAATTTTTTTGTTTTTGTCGAGTTATTCACAGATTTAAAACTTTATTTTCTTTGTCTCTTTAGGTTGTTTTTGATGAATAAGGACCAGATGAGGGCTTTATCAATTATTCAAAGTAAACTTGTATATCCCCGAACCCATTATCCTTTTGCCTATATTTCTTTTTTGGGGGGTTATTTTTCTCCTGACTTCATTTCAACACATATTGACTTACAACTTTCACATATTCGACTAAGAATGCCAAGCGATATTTGTTCTAAAAAATCATTATCTTTATTTTTCTGTTTGAACAGGATTTTCAACATTGAGACTAAAAATTTCTGTTTCTGAGCAATTCCCACCATTCTTACATAATATGTGCAAAGGTCTTAGTTCTAAGGTTTCCATAAAACCGTTTATTCATAAACCCATAACTATGGAGTTATTAATTTTTCTGTTTATTTTTTTTTTTTGCTTATTATGAAGGCCACATTAATTGTTTTTTTTACAGTAAACTATACTCTGAAACTACATTTTGTTTTTAGGAAAATGAACATTATATGCCATTCTGAGCCCATAAAGAATAAAATAAAAATAGTTGACATTTTAATGAGGGTCAAATTTAAAAAAAATTAGGGTGTTTGAGGAAGGTTGAGAAATTGTGCACCCGGCCCTTTAAAAACAGGTAGTGTGGGCTGAGACTGTACTCACCTAGATGTTCTTGCGTGGGTTGAGCTTCGGCTCTTTGGTCCCGCCTCTCAACTGTCAATTAACCGGTGTAAGGGACTGGTGGGTGTCAGTGGGAGAATGTGGTGGCAAGGAGAGTACAGGCCTACAGGTGATGGTGTAAAATGTTATGCAAAGACAGAGCTAAGTGGCAGGACACGGGGAAGCAGCGTATGTGGATTCACGCAATGAGATTAGAGTGAGCAACTGGTTGTAGGAAGAATGAACATTTGGGAAGAGAGAGAGGCGGCGTGATATTTTGGATTTTGCGTGAAACGGATGGAAACATATGGGATGGGGGGGAGGGGGGGCAGCCTTGGGGAAGGGGGTGGATAATGTTAAGTGTGATATATTGTGAGGTGTTTGGAGTAAAACCGAATATTGGAAAAACTTAAATCTGCTCCATTATTTCTCAGAGGCAATTTATTACAGTCCATTCTTCGTGCTTGACCAAATAATTGTATTATTTGCACACATTGTACAGTATAATGAGACTGTTTCTCTATTATATGTGAATTATTATAATTCGTTTATCTCTTCTATAGTCACATGTTTTTTATATATTTATTTAATGGAAGTGGTGCCATCTGGTTCCAGATCCACTATCTAACCCACCAGTTGGAGGCCATGAGATGTGTGGAGGTCGCCGGCATGTTTTCTCTCAGCCACAGCAGCCTCATGTCGGTGAGTGATACCAGCGTGTCAATGTTTATCTCTACATGTGACCTTACAAAGTTTTCCTAATTAGTGCAACACGGGTAATGTCCCACAGCATGGGACACAACACCAGAAATTGTATTTTCGTCAGAAGTGTCCAGTAAGGTTCGTAAACCCCTAACTTGGGCATGAAGGTTGTGTTGGTGTTCTCGTTGACTCCATCATAAAACCTGTCAACAGAGTTGTTGTTGAATAATTAATAATAATATAGCTGGTTCAGCTACGTTCAGGTGGGCTTCTTCACACAATGCTTGGGAGCAAGAAACATTAGGAATTCTACCCAAAATGTTAACATATAATTACCATCATTCCTAGTTTTCGCCCATCCTGTACCTATCTTTTCTAAGTTTAGGACAAATATCACGGACAATTAATGGAACACAAGATATTGCACATAAAAATAGCAAACTTGCCCATTGAATAAAATGTCTCCTTTTCCCCTCTTTCAAAGATTTTTGGGTTATAATAATTGTCGGGACAGTTTTTTAGTCACCATACCAAGTTGTGGTTGATAAAATATCTACCACAACTGATGCGTTCTTCCCTCGCACAGGAAAGCAAGATTTTGTTCCTTACAAGCTCAGTAAATTGTATATTTTTTATTAGGTTTTTAGATGGCTAATTATAATATTAAAGCTTTTATCCTGTGCCATAGACGACAGCCTCTAGCAGCAGACATATTGTAGTGGTAACATTTATTGTCCCAGATTATGTAAGTCATGATTGAGTGCATTTGTTGCTTTGTGGATTTATATGGCAGTTTTATAAATTTCGTTAACACATATATATATATATATTAGATTCCTTATATTTTTCTTGGTTGGTCTGATACTAAAAAATCCCAAATCCTGTTACTTATCCATCCTAACGGAAATTATATGCTCTGTGTCAGTCCTACATGTTGGCTACGAATGGGTGATGTTAATATGGCCAGCAGAGACCGTATAGTACCTGTGATGTCCTCTCTAAACTAATCAATAAACAGGCTTAACTATCAGATATTCACACTATCAGAGCATTCCAATAAATAGGGCAATACCATAGGGTATCTCTTCCATTGATAAATCCTAATGATTCGGAAAATATAAACTTCTTTATTTTCTGGCTGTACTTAACCATATTGAACTTAACCAGTATAAGACCATATTGCACTTTCTCTGCTGAGTATCTTAAATAAGTACAAACAATACCATATATTTTTTTCAATAAGACAAGGAAAGCTTATAGATAAGGACTGTGGGAACATTCTTCCTAAAGTTTGCAAGTTGTACAAATCACAAACTTTGCAAAATGATGAAAAGCGAGGCGCCACTGTGAGTGAAGCGTCAGGCACCACTGTGAGTGAAGCGTCCGTTGCCACAGTGAGTGAAGCGTCAGGCACCACTGTGAGTGAAGCGTCCGTTGCCACAGTAAGTGAAGCGTCCGTTGCCACAGTGAGTGAAGCGTCCAGCGCCACAGTGAGTGAGGTGTCTCCCAACATCACCACTCGTGCATTCATCAGAGGAGAAACAACCATGCAAACTGCTTTCCAAGAAGAAGCATAACAATTGAGGAAAGTGTAAACGACCTATTAGCCCATTTAAGAATGCTCCAATTAACCGGACCCCACCAATTCACCTCAATATATATATGAAAAACCTTCGCTTCAAAACAAACCAGTGATATCACAGCTAATATGTCGCCCGTTAACTGGTTTCATTAAAAACACACACACACGCCTATTCTCAACTGTATTAACAAAGCTTTTCTGAAATTAAACTTAACCAATTTGCGGCCGGTGTATCGTGCTCTTATTATTATCATATTTAGCATCAAATTAACATCTCCGGTGTTTTACCCTTTCATTTATATGCATCCTCAATTATGTGTCATTTTATTATATTTACCATAATAGTGAAAGTGCAAATTAAGCTTTCTTATCCTATCTTTACAAAAGGTTTTTAATTCCCGCAAATAATTTTGTCATCGTTCTCTGTGCATTTTATAATTAATCTTCTTCAATTCTTTATTATGCTTTTTAAAACTGATCCAGATAATCTAAATATAAACATCTGATAATATTTCCTCCAATTAATAGACAGTATATATCGTCATTTGAATCTCATTCTTAATTTATTTCCCATCCAATTTTATATCAGTAAAAAATTATTAATGTTGCTGTTCAGTGTTGTATAAATCGTTTATTGATATAGTAAACAGTGGGTCCAAACACACAGCCTCGGAGCGTTCATTTGCAATAGCTTTACTCTCAGATTTGCCTTCATTTATGCTTTCCCTTGTTTCCTTGGAAACAAGTACGTTGTAACACAATTTAAGTTAAAGATAATCCTGCAGATACCATGTGCAGCTTCCCTTCTAGCGGGGTTACCATACGTTCCAGGTGATGTCCTGGATTCAAGTGTCAAAATTTGCGTCCAGCGAAGAATTTTTAAAAAATTCTGCAAATGTCCGGAATTTCAGCTTCAATCACTTAACAAATTATATATATATATATATATATATATATATATATATATATATATATATATATATATATATATATATATATATATATATATATATATATATATATATATATATATATATATATATATATATATATATATATATATATATATATATATATATATATATATATATATATATATATATATATATATATATATATACATATATATTACATTTTCAAAGACTTTAGTTTATACACACACAACTATAACTGAACAGAGTTTAAAACTCTGGATGAACTCTGTAGGGTAAGGCAGGTCCTAGTCAACAACGGCTTCTCCAATGGTTTCGTTGAAGACATCATAAGAAGGAAGGTGAAACGCCATGCAACCTCTGAAGAGACAACTAACACAACACCTGTACCCCCTATTAGACTATTTTACAGGAACTTCTTTTCCACAGCTCATAAAACGGAGGAAAGGGTCCTGAAAGATATTGTTAATAGAAACGTTATACAAATAATAGAAAGACAAAAATCAGAAGATACAATTGACGATCTACTATAAACCCAAGAAAACTGCCAACCTACTCATGAGAAACTCTCCAGACACAAAGCAGAACGCTTTAAAAGAGACAAATGTCGCCTATGCCTTCAAATACCCACTTGCGGACTGTAAGCCTCAAAGAATTCAGTATATAGGCAAGACAACAACATCTCTTTCCAGGCGATTAACGATGCATAAGCAACAGGGCTCCATTAAGGAACATATGATCTCTTCCCACAACCAGACCATCACCAGAGAAGTCTTAACAAAAAACATGGAAATCATCGATAGATACAGCGAAAGCAAGCGGCTAGATATCTGCGAGGCACTACACATTAAGAAGTTGACACCAGCAATCAACACCCATTTAACGCACAACTATATTCTACCCACTTCAAGACTCCGCTCCAATATAGAAGCATCAAGAAAAATGGGCCAATAGGCCCTTTATAGTTATTTCCATTCTTCCCTTTAATTTACAACATATTATACCCATTGTTTCGTGTTCTGTCTTGTGTTGAAAGTTTGTTTTCACCTCATCCAAAACTGTTGTAACATATATATATATATATATATATATATATATATATATATATATATATATATATATATATATATATATATATATACCAAGAAGTTAAATATTAGGCTACTAACAACCATACCTGTTTTACATATATGAGCGAATACCACAACTGTCAAATAGCTATATAAGCCCTATAAGGCTCAACCAAAAGTCAACATGGCTTCACCAGGAAAAGCTAGAGTACTTGTGAAAGGTCTTAAAAGTCACTTGACAAGGTAAATAAACCAATGTGACAGCTGGTTAGAAACAGACCCAGTTGATCACACATCGCTTGGAAATCTCAGCTGAGATAGCTAACCAGAAATTCAAACAGGTAAAAGAATTTATTGTGCTGTACATAGATGCACTCAATGTCAGTAATATTGACCCAGATGAAATAGAGCTAATCATATATGACCTAGTCGACTATGAAGACAAAATTCAGGCCAGGTTAAATTAATATAATAAGATGATTGCAACAGAAAATATTCCTGTTGGAGTGGAACACCTTTTATGGTATACTCATATTACAGCAAATAAACTGCTCAGAAGAAATAAATGATCTAACTCAAGATGACGATACTCCTCTAATCAAGTCTGACCCTTACACAGGATCACAAATTTACTAGATCTATATAGAATAATTCACTGGATAACTAGATCACTAATAGTCCACCAAATAAGTTAAACCTTCCTTTTCTACAGTTTCCTCTAATACACTTTCATCCAATCACTCATTAACAGAATCTGGAGACTCGCTGCCGGCGCCATTGCTAGCTGGCCGCACACAGATTTATTCCCGGAAAAACTCACGATTCTGAGCACCCATCAGCTCCATTCATCGCGGTTTTGTGAGGAAGAATACATCAGTACTCCAAGACCCAGACAATATCTTGTTTTGAAGGAAACAATTCCGATTTCGTCTAAAATTGACGGAGAAACAACGTTGTTGATTCCCTGCTGCCCAGCTGACTGGTATTCTGCGCAACCCAGTATGCAGGCGACCCAAACTCTCGTACCGCACTTTTTTATTTTTGAGGACCGTATCACTGACCAGGTCACTTAGAGTCCTACCCTGAAGGGCGAGGCGATACCCTGCGGGCAGCGCCACAAGGGGGCACCTTAGAAGGTGTACTGAGCCTGACAGGGAAAGGTAGACCAAACAGCTCATTTAGGTGTTAGGTATCCCTGATTCCACCTGGGGGAATCATTCTACGACCTCCGTTGGAGGGGAATGAATTTCTCCAGGCCTAGGAGTGTCTCAGGCATTAGGTAGGGCCTAATGCCCTAGTGATTCGGTTCTCACTACGTGGAGAGAGTCATGGGGAAGGCTAAGACAAAGAGGAAATGGAGGCAGCTTTCAGACGAGGAGGGACGGTGGAACGATGTGCAGCAGGCACAGAAGAAAACTGCTATCGAGGCTTCACCACTTGCTTCTACCAGCAAGACAGCAGACGTAATGGACCTAGAGAGGACAGCATCAGTCACACACCAGCCAGTGTCAGGCAATGCTTCTCTGTCCACAACACAGCCACAGGACGACAGTATGAGACAGGAGAGGACACCACCGGTCTCACGCCAGCCAGTGTCAGACACTGTACCTCTCTCCACAACACAGCCACAGGACAACAGTATGAGACAGGAGAGGACACCATCAGTCACACACCAGCCAGTGTCAGACAATGCTTCTCTGTCCACAACACAGCCACAGGACGACAGTATGAGACAGGAGAGGACACCACCAGTCTCACACCAGACATTGCCAGACTCTGCACATCTTCCAAAATTCAAGATAATGCAGACAGACCACTTTCCTACAGCATATGGAGTAGTAACGGCAATGGAAAAAGAACAACCAGAGCTCAAACTTTCCATTACAGTCAACCTGAAAGGAGAAATAATAATAACACCACAAGACCAACAGACTGCAAGTTACTTAGAAAAAGTAAGAGTCCTGCAAGGGAAACCTGTATGCTTGGAAAAGTTGGACCCTTCAGAAAGACGCACACGAGTCGTGCTTTTGGGATACCCAATCGACTTTCCCCTGGATCCAGTACTAGAACACAAGCAAATCCTGAATGCGGAACGATGCTGCACATAAGTAGACAAGGCAGCGACACGTCAGGTTCTGGTGACCGTCATGGGACATGTGCCAGAAACATTCAATCTTGGAAATTGGGGAACATACCGACAGAGACCATACGTCCCAGAACCCCTGCGCTGCTTCAGGTGTCAGAAATACGGCCACCATCAATCACGCTGCACCGGACAGGAGAGATGCGGAGTGTGCAGCCTGAGACATCCAACCAAAAACTGCATAGCCAAGGACAAGGCAAACCAGGCCACAACAGCCAAATGTCCAAATTGTGGAGGCAAACATCATGCCTGGAGCACAACCTGCTCTGCACGGAAAGAAAAAGTGCAGACAGCTCATGCCAGGATAAACACACTGACCAGCAGTACATACACCAACACCAACGTCTGGAACACTCGTGCACAGCCACAACAGACACCCACTCTCACAGAGCAAAACTTCCCGGATCTATTAATTCCAAATCAGAAAATACACAAAAGTGCTGCAGAAATACAGCAAATGCAAAATAGCAAAAAACAATTACTTTCGGAATCAACACAACAGATATACAGTTTTACCCCCGAGGTCCAGCTGAAAACCATCGTGAAGATCATGGCAGAGACCATTATCAATTGCCTACAGATGACGCAGAACGCCTCACAGCACCAGACTCAAGACATCACTTGTGTGATAATGGACAAGATCGTGCAGCAGATCACAGTTACAACAGAAATAGACAGTCTGTGACAAGACGAAGCACAAGAGGACAAACAACGCAACATGGACATACAGACTACCAACAACAGTCGGGTAGTCCAGACACCAGAACATCAACATTTACAAAAGCAACTGCAAGAAGCAGTGGCCACCCAAGATCAACAGAATCTTACAACACAAGAGACAGACAACAACAACCAATGCAGTCTGGTATGCAACACCACCAACAAAGACGTATTGAACAGCAGAGATGCACAGGTTCCAACAACACAAGAAACAGCCACGAGCTATCAATGCAGTCCGACATGCAGCAATACCAACAACAAAGTGATGGACCACAGTTATGCACAGATTCCAACAATGCCGGGGATGACCAAAGAGGAGTTCTGGTAGAACAGGCAACACCAACCGAAACCGTCGTCTGGCCATTACGAATTCTGCAGTGGGAAATACAAGGTCTTGGAAATAAAAACCACACACTTCAGGAGGCTGCAATCAGCACGAAAGCAGATATAATCGTTTTGGAAGAAACTCTTTTCCCAGCCACGAAATCCTTCAGATTAGCTGGATACCAGCACTATCTTATACCGTATGAGCAGGGGAGACAAAGAGGATTAATGACCCTAGTCAGGAACACCATACCCAGCAAGAAAATAGACCCAGTTTCATGTGGGGTTGGAATAGAGGTATTAGCAGTAGCAGTGATTATGGCTAATATTGAGCTCCTCATATACAACGTTCACAAGCCCCCTAGACGTAAACTAGAAGCAGAGGCAGTGCTTGCCTTGGCCACGCAGGAAAATGTAATTATTGCTGGGGATTTTAATGCTCATCATCAAGAGTTAGGTGCGACTGGGCCAGCCAATGCAGATTGGCGCCATTTAGCTGCAACTCTGCGAGAAGTACCTGAGATTACACTTCTCAACACTGGGGAACCCACTCACATTCTAGGAGGTTCCCTTGATCTTACATTCATCTCAACAGCACTCCAGCAACAGGCGAAGTGGGAAGTAGACCCGGTGATCACCAGTGACCACTATGCTACTGTCACAACACTAAACATAGAACGACCTCCTACACCATCTGCACAACCTAGGTGGAATTTAAGAAAGGCCAATTGGAATATATACCAAGAAGAACTTGAAAAATGGTATGCAACATACACGCCACCTGAGGATTTGAACATACACGAGACCAATCTGCAGGAAGCCATTGCAGCTGCTGCAAACAAAGCTATTCCAATCTTTATCACAGGAAAGACAAAACGAAAGAACTATTGGTTCTATAGTAATGAAGTTAAAGAACAGAACCACAGAGTCAACATCTTCAGAAAACATCTAAAGAGAAACCCCACACCAGAAGGAAGAACTCTGCTAAGAGCGGTGATATCTGAAGCAAGACGAGTTTCTAGAGAAGTAAAGGAGGCAAGATGGTTTGAGTGGTGTCAAACTCTAAATGAACATAGTAGTCTTGGCAAGATATGGGGTCAGATTAAAGTTATATCAGGTCGACCAGCCCGACCACAGGCATGTATTCAACCATTGCAGGAGGCTGAGAGACTTGCTCTCCAATTTGCAGAAAGTACAGCTTTATATCAGCTTCCTGCAATGGTCCGAAAGCAGCAAGAACAATTAAAACAAGAGAGGTCTACAGTCATTCATGAGAACATAGCTATAAATGACGAATGTGACTGTCCCTTCACCACACAAGAACTAATCAGAACCAAAAAAGGTGGTAAGGACACTGCACCAGGTGCTGATAACATTACATACTCAATGATCGCACATGCAGGTCCTGCTGGAACAAGGAATATTGGACATCATCAATGCGTCTTGGCAGCAAGGCAAACTACCAACCTCTTGGAAGAAAGCAGACATCATACCGATTCCTAAGCCGAAAGAACCTGGCAATTACAGACCCATTTCATTAACATCATGCATTAGTAAAGCTGCAGAACGGATGGTCTTAAATAGGTTACTGTGGAAGACTGGAGACCTTCATAAACACATATTTGGCTTCACTATAGGATTAGGTACTGCCAACTGCATAGCAACATTACTAGGAACAGTTAACTCGGGTCCAGCTATAGTGATCTTCCTTGATCTAGAAAAAGCATTCGAACTTGCAAGCCCGCAAGCAATTTTACACACCTTAGTTAAAAAAGGTGTAAAGGGAAAAATGCTAGCATGGATTCAAGATTACCTAAGTCACAGGTATGCCAGAGTAAAGTTGCAAGGACAAGTGTCGGACTACCACTTGCATGAAAATGGGACTCCACAAGGAGGAGTCCTCAGTCCTAGTCTTTTTAACATCCTTATGGAAAACCTTGTTACCATGACATTTACAGAAGGGGTTAAATTGCTAAGCTATGCTGATGATATAGCATTAGTCATTACAGGTCCTTCACTTCTAAATAAAGCACAAGGTGCATTAGATAAAGTAACATCTAAATGCAGCCTTTTAGGGCTAAAAATATCTGCACAGAAGTCTAAGGCAATGAGACTAGGCGGCAACACTCCAGACAGGCACCTACGCATTCAAGACATTAACCTTCAGTGGGTTACACAATATCAATATCTCGGAGTGTGGATAGATTTTAAAATGACATTCAACAAGCAAATTCAATATCTAAAGGAGAAAGCAAAATCACGACTAAATATAATGAGAGGAATCACAGGGCCCCGTCTAGGAGCGGGACACAAAGTGTTAAGAATGTTTTACATACACGCCGTTCGTTCCCTAGTTGATTATGCAGCGCCTGCCTTACTCACTCTTTCTCCTGGTCAGTGGGCAAACGTTGAGGTTATTCAAAACGATGCATTGCGAATCATAACAGGA